TCCCATATGCAATAGACATTTCCAACTGTTTGGCCGGGGGGGGGGGGGGTTGAGGTGTGGAGTGGAGTGAAGTCCAATCAATCAGCTTCCATATGCAAATGACCTTGAAACACTGGTCCAATCAGAGAAGAGTGGCCTAGGCTGCAGTGTGTGGGAGAGAACTCAGGCCACCGGTGGCCGCTGACTTGCCTCCCCCTCCACACACACCAGGAACACCCCCACCCGAAGACACAGGCACAGGCAGCTCAGCCGCTGCTCTGTCCTGGGGTTTCCTGCGCAATTCCATCCCCTTACCTGGGTCCCCTTGTGTCTACCAGTGACTCTTTGGGGCTTCTCCGGCTGGGCCACTTCAGCGGCCCAGCTGTAGAAGCCCCATCCCTGCACTCAGTCTGCAGATGGTCCTCTCCTGTCAGAAGCCCAGAGCAGACTGAGCCGAAGACGCTGGCCGGGGCTGACGTGGGCGGGACTACACAAAGCAGCCAGCCAACCCAGCCAGCGTCTTCTGACTGACAGTTCTTGCGCCCAAACACTGTAGGTGTGCATTGGAACGTTGGACCCCACTACGGCTTTATATAAGGGGAGAGATATGCTTCCTGTGTTTAGCTCTGCCATACGATAAATAAATCTTTGCTATGTGTGAAGCTGAACACATACATATACACATGACTCTGCCTTATACAGAACCAGATCATTGATCTATCAAAGTCCATATTTTCTATTCTGACCACCAGCAGCTCTCTAGCATGCCCAGTAGAGAGTTTTCACATCACCTACTAACTGATCCTCTCAACTAGAGATGCCATGGAGTGAACCTGGGACCTTGTGCATAAAACACAGATGCTGTACCACTGTGCCATGCCCCCTCCACCTTCTGAATCCTGATGAGCATTACATGTTTGGCATGGTATAGCCTCATATCCTCTATCCCCATATGTGAAAGCAAATACTTTTCCTGGAAAATTCTGTGGTGCATTGTTTCAATAACAACACTTGCTATAGTTTTTTGTGATTTTGTGATTCACTACAAACAAATACCTCAATCATCCCTGAGGTGGTGTTTATTTCTTACCTCTGAATCACAACAGGAACTAGATTCCACATAATGAAAGAAACCGCTCACCCTGCATTGCAGGTGTCACCCAATGGAACCATGATATGCCTTCCCAAGGAAACCCAGATCACGGGGTAAGTATAACTCTTAAGTACTCCCAGCTATGATTTAGAGTTTTCATGCCATTGGGGTGTTAGAAGCTGTACAGTTACCTGAAAATGAACTAATAGTGTTTCTTGACTCAGAGAAAACAGAGGTGAAGGATCAAGATGGGTAGCCATGTTTGTCTGTAGCAGTACAAAAGAGCAAGACTCCAGTTGCACCTTAAAGAATTAACAAAAATATGTTGTGCGGTATGAACATTTATGAGTCACTGATCACTTCTTCAGATAGAGGTGAAGGAAAATGCACCGTGTGGTATTTTTTCCTTGTAATGTGAGTTCAAGGCACAGTTTTCCTTTTTTCCTTTCTGGGTTTTTTCTTCCGCTGCTTCATTGCACTTGGACATTGTGCATTCACAAAATGAGGCCAGCAAACTGCCAGTTTCAAAAAGGCCTTATTCTTTGGGGCTAGGCTACTTGGCTTTTAAAAATAACAACAGCAACAACAACTGCGCTATGAATATTAGGCAACCTTTAATTTGTATGTATTTGAATGCAGTAAAATATGCTGTTGAGCTCAGACTTGATATTTTTCTGTCAAGAATGGGAACTCTCTGTTACTTGTGAAGTCGAGGGCATTCAGTTCGCACTTTAAAGTATTCTTGGCTTCAGCTAATATCTGAAAATGCCAAATTTGCCTCTCTTCGTACATGTAGAATCTCACCGGTTTGGGGAGAGCTTTTGTCTTCTCAAGGACGGCATTACTGGGAAGTCACTGTGACTGGCTGCGAGACTTACAAGATTGGGATCTGCTACTCCGCTGCACCACCTGACAGTATCCTGGGGCAGAACAGTTCTTCCTGGTGCTTGTATTGTCCTAGCAAAATGAGGTATCCAAGACAATTCATTCCAGAAAGAGTGACTGTGAAATTATAGGCCTCTTGGCTGAATTGCATGCATTCCCCAAGAGCAGCTGAGTGTAGCGGCCATAGGACAACTAATGCAGTCTTGACATCTAGTAACCAAGAAGAGCCGCCCTGTATTAAATGATAATTTAAAAAGAAACTTTTTTGTTTATTCTAATATTCTCCTTGCCCGTTCCTAATTCTTTTGATGTCATACAAACCATAGGCAGCCCGATGTTGGTTTTCTAATGATTTCACCCCATCTAACTCAGCATTGGGCATTATCCAAGATTAATATCAATCAATAATGATACAGATTTGGATCTCCCAGGAAGCAGAGGGGACCATATGCAGCAGTGATCTCTGAAAGGGGATCCTATGTGTCTCCTTTTGGGAGAGCTGAGTAGGTTCCAAATACAGTGACAGCTCATCTGGTGAATATATGCAACATTTGCAAGCAGATCTTACACCAGTAAAGAGGAACGTGGAGACACATGATTCACAATGCAGTTATGTGATCCTACTAACTGTGACTTTGGTTCTTTTCTGTACAACCTTTGACACACAAAGTGGTTTTACCCCCTCTTTTGAGCTTGCCTTCAGAATGCCCTTATTTCAGTTTTACTGATGGGGTATCACGGCAGAGCAATTTTGGCATGCTCCAGGCCCTAAGAAGAATCCATGGCAAAAGTGGCATCTGAATGCACCCATCTCTCTGTGGGTCATGAGAGATGACTTGTCAATTCTCCTTCCTATTTTTGTGGCTGGCCCAGCTTTCATTAAGTGAAAGGAGAGCAGAAATCTGAGTCTCTGGGTTTTTTTTTGTTTTTGCTGCTGTAATGAATACTCCAACCACAAAATCCACCTGTCCTTTCCCAGGGCTGATTTCACAGTATATATGATACATTTCTACCATAGCAACTTCACTTGAGGCCAAGTTGATGATTTAGCTAGACAGCCAGCAGGAGGAGGAGAAGGAGGAGGAGGCATGGTTTCTTGGAGTGAATCCAGAATTCTGAGGCTCGGGATGATTGGTGGCTGGGAGGAGCACTCAGCTGATAGACTCTCTGTCCTTTAGGCTGGCAGCTAAGGTTACACGGTTGGGCTTGGGAGCCTTCCGCGTTCTATAATCCCATCAGAACAGTTGTAATCGTCAACACAGCAGGTGGCGGCTAATGCTGGCTGTGTTGCACTTTAGTGTGTCTGGCCTGCTTCCTAAAATACAGCAACAGGAATATTTAGCATTATATTGCACATTTCAAGCAGTCAAAACACATCTTTGGGCGTGACATCTTTGCCATCTTCTGGGCATGGAGCAAGGGTTGCTGGGGGTGTGGAGCTGGAGGTATTTGTGAATTTCCTGCATTGTGCAGGATGTTGGACTAGATGACCCTTGAGATCCCTCCCAACTCTATGATTCTCTGATCACTTACGTTTTATCAGTAACCCTTCCAACAATTTTGCAAGGTAGGCTGGTATTGACAGAGATCTTGGGAGCAGAGAAAGGTGGTGAAGTGAAGCCCAGGGCAGGAAGCAGCTGGCCAACCAGCTCTTCCCAGGGGTGGGCTTGAGCCAGGCACAGCCCCGCTCCCCTCCCCAACAGCAGCAACGAGAGCTTGGGCTGCTGCTGCCACCTCCGCTTCCTCCACCCCAGAGAGTCATCCTGTGCTCCCTTCACCATGGAGTAGGTGGCAGGCTGCCCAAAGGAACAGCAGGCTTCCTGGCACTGGGGTATTCATCAGCACAGCTGTATTTGCACCATATGGACATGAAATTGAGCAAACGTCAGAGGACGGAGGAAGACAGGAAGGCCTGGCATGATCTGGTCCATGGGGTCGCAAAGAGTCGGACTCGACTGCGACTGAACAACAACAACAACACCTGCACCAGACAAGGAAGGGAAGGGAACAGCTATATTGGGTCCCATCAGAGCAGGGAAGAATGGACATCTGGATGCTGCCTAAAGGCGACAAGGCCTCAGTCTTTGGAGCCTGTTGAGGCAAGAGAGAGCAGTGGTCTATGTGGCCCCACCTTGGCAGGCACCGGGAAATTTGTCCACAGTTAGTGAGTTGGGGAACACTGACTTAAACCATTGAATAAAACTTTGTGACCCACTTCCACAGGCTTTGCAAACCACTTTTGGTTGGGAAACACTGCTCTAGAGTACACTTCTGATTGGTAGCAGTTGGCAAGTAAGATATAATAGAAAATACTGCAATGGACCACACAATGGATTCTTATTTACTTTAATTTTTCTATTCTCTGCAGTCTTGTCTACAAAGTTCTCCACAACGGCGAGATGGGTGATGTTATTGTGATGGAACAGCCTGCCCGGATTGGCATTCTGCTGGACTACAAAGCTGGAAGACTCTTGTTTTTCAATGCAGAACGAGGACAAGTCCTCTTTGCTGTTAAGCAGAAATTCACTGCTGCAGCTCACCCTGCCTTTGGGTTGGAACAGCCAGGAATCCTTCACCTGCACACGGGCATGGAGCTACCAGAATTTGTGAAGCATAGCTGAAAGTTTTCTTCCCATCTACCCGCAAGACAATCAGAATTTTATTTTTTTAAAGTCTTAGGATGGTCGTTTTCACCTCTTTAATATATGCTATACATACAGAGAACTACACAGGAAGCTTAATGACCTGGTAGGTCTGCACCATCCTTTCCCCTTCTAACAACAGCTTCTTTGCTGAGGTACTTCCCAAAATGTTTTTAAAATGGGGGGGGGATACTTCAGAAGCAGTTTGCAGTGCATATCGAGAAAGCTCCCCTTGACAATGAGAACGCAAGTAGAGCCCTGCTGGTCCCAACCGATGGTTCAGCTAGTGTGGCAGTCTGCTTCACCCAAGGGCCAACCAGGTGTGTTACCCAAATCAGTTGCCGTGTCAGGCCTGTCATGTGAAAAGCATCCCCTTAACAGGAAGAACTAGAACACGAGTACAAGGTAAATCGGGGAGGGGGGACCCTGAAGTTTTTTATACAGTGCTCCCAGTTAGACACAAGATAGCTCTGGGTGAGAGAAAGGTGGGAGACAGGTGTTTAACCAGAAAATAAACATATTACCCTAAACCAAGAGACAGACTAGAAAAACAAGGAATCAGTACAGAAAAAGAGTGCAGAAAAACAGAAGAGCAAGCAATTACATCACAGACGCCAATAAAACTCAGTCACTTTGCACAAACCTAGTGTGCAGTTGTGTTACTTGAAATTAAATACCCAATTAAAGTCACTTTTAATTCAAATTATGTTCCTCACAAGTGGCTAGTCTAGAGGAAACCAGTCACAAATGGATATGGGAGAAACTTAAGACAATGGGGAGTGGATAGGAAAATGTTGAGGGTGAATTCCAGGAAGGGAAGAAATGGAGGGAGGAAAATCATGCTGTGCCTGTCTTGACAAGGAAGATTCAGTGATTTCACGCTCATGATGACGGAAGCTGGTTCTGGAGGGGAACCAAACACAAAAATGAAAGGCTTGCAATGCCCTTCTTATGCACCCGAGTTTACCTGGGTGCCTGGAAGAAGGTTGCTGTTGGCCCAGTTTTGAGCAGAAGAGTGTAGGACTGAGGTGCCTATTGGTAGATTTTGGGGCTGTACCCTCAGTGATGCAGTTTTAGGATCTGGGACCCCATTGATGTGAGTCCAGGACCTGGGCTGTGATAGGATAGTTCACTCCTCCTCTTATAGAAGAGGATAGTTCATTCCTCCTATTATAGAAGGAGACATCTGAAGGTGCCCAGGGAATGGGCTGGAAGGGATATCTGAAATGGTTCTGATTGTAAGTGATTGAATTAAAATGGTGAGTAATTTCTGCCACCAATATTTAGGAGAAAGCTGATGGACCTTCCTGGGTTCATAAACCAGTCACACAGGGTCACTTGTGAAGGAGCTTTTGAAAGCTTTGGTTATTGGCCAACAGACATGGGTTGATGTTTTTGTCCCAAAGGTACGAAGTGCTCCGAAGGTTTACACAAAAGAGCTTAATTGCTGTTCCCCTGTAGTAATCAGGCAGTTGGCTGTTTCCTTTTGCAAGTGCTTGGAAGACTTCTTGCCTTGATCAAGAGACTTTGATTCAGTATTAAATGAAATGCATATCCCCTCATCAAAGAAATCTAAGGGCAGGAGGTAGCCCAGAATAATCCCTGGTGCTTATGTGATCATGTTGGCAAACCTCTCGACTGACTTATCTGGGCATGGATAGCTACGAATGAATTACATGGCAAACAAAAAAGTAGAGCTGCAGGGAAATATATACAATAGTACGTAAATACTATGTATGGATTTCAATGCTGGACAGGTAAGAAAATTGATTAATTTGAAATATGGTGTTGGAGGAGAGTTTTACAGATACCATGGACTGCCAAAAAGTCAAAGAAGTGGGTTCTAGATCAAGCCTAAATCAAGCAAGAAACTAAAATGACTAAACTGAGGCTATCATACTTTGGTCAAATTATGAGAAGACAAGGCTCACTGGAAAAGGCAACAGTGCTAGGGAAAATTGAAGGCAGCAGGACAACATGAGATGGGTTGACTCACTCTAAGAAGCTATGGCCTTCAGTTTTCAAGACCTAAACACGGCTGTTAACTAGGATATTTTGGAAGGTATTAATTCAGTCACCATAAGTTGGAATTGACTTAATGGCGTATATTTCCCTTAATTGCACATGATTCTCCTAATGTCTTTTATTTGTTTTGTTTTTTAATAAATCACAAGCTAGAATTAGAATTTAGGCCTCATTTAAGCTTCATTCTCAATGAGTTAGTAAACCCATGTCTGGGATATACTGCTTCATTCTGCATCCGAGGGCTCACCTTATGGCATATTCTCCTGTGGGAATAAAAAAATTCCTGCACAGAAAATTATCATGTAAGGGGAAACACCAGGCTATAGCTCTTCTTCGCCCTAACATCTAGTTTTCTGTGTGGAGGGGATTTTACAAATGAAGGAACTTTCAGTTCTATTCTAGACTGATCCTGCACTGAGCAGGGAGTTGGACTAGATGGCCTGTATGGCTCCTTCCATCTCTGTGATTCTATGATTCTAAGTATGTGAGATCCCAACACAGTACAGCCCATATACAGGTTTGCCACCTTAGTGAGAAGCAGGCTTCGATTTTGACCCGAGTCCAACCCATACACCCACTTGTGCTGATTGCAGCAGATTCCATGCTGCACTGGCTCCCTCGACACACCAGAAACGTGATTCTACATCACATGACTTATTCAGATCAAACTAGTACTTGTAGCTTGGGAAGGACCCATCAATCCTATTGTGACCTCAAACATAATTCATGTAAGAGAGGAATTGGGAGTGGCAATGATGCTGCAAAGGTATGCAGTGCCATAATCCAATGGGACAGTGATGACCATGTTATGAAGGATATGTGTAAATGATTTTGAACAACACATATCAGGGTCCCAACAGGTGATAAATATGAAATGTTATGAAAAAATGGGCCTGAAAACTTCAGGGGGAAAGGATGGGGAAGATCTGTGGTCAGGATGTCTTTCAAGGACATCTTCCTGACTGTAAGCTGCAAAGGGAGGCAACAGCACTCTCTCTTGACATCCCAAGCATTGTTTAGTGGGAGACTGGGCACCTGTTCTCCAATGCCAGCATCCCCATGATCCTTTAAGCCATCCCTCACCACCAAAACAATCCTTAGAGAGAGGGATCCAGCTCAGAGGATTCACACCATACAGTGTGCATCCTCCAAAGCCAGTTCTTCCCCCCCCCATATGTCCCAGACATAGTTGCTCCAACTTCCTCCATGGAATCAGGTGCCAAGAATTTTTACTCATATAGAGAGTCTGTATTTTGTTTGTTTGTTTATTTATTTATTTATTCACATTTATTTATTGTTGAAAGACCTGAGTCAGATTGAGGTGATGAGAGAAGAGGTCCTACGACCCATAGAACTTAAAAACTGATAAATCACCAGGTCTGGATGGCATACATCTGAGAGTTCTGAAAGAACTCAAATGTGAACTTGTGGATCTCCTGACAAAAATATGTAATCTTTCATTAAAATCTGCCTCCATTCCTGAGGCCTGGAAGGTAGCTGATGTCACTCCCATCTTTAAAAAGGGTTCCAGAGGAGACCCAGGAAATTACAGGCCAGTTAGTCTGTCAATACCGGGTAAGTTGGTGGAAACTGTTATTAACAAAAGAATTAGTAGGCACATTGATGAACAAAAACTATTGAGGCAGGCTCAATATCATAATGTCCCTGTATAAATCGATGGTGCAACCTCATTTTGAGTACTGTGTACAGTTCTGGTCACCACACCTCAAAAAGGATATTATAGCATTGGAAAAAGTGCAGAAAAGGGCAACTAGAATGATAAAAGCATTGGAAGAAAGGTTAAAACGCTTGGGGTTCTTTAGCTTGGAGAAATGACGGCTGAGGGGTGATGTGATCCAGGTTTATAAGATTATGCATGGGATAGAGCTGGTAGAGAAAAAAAGTACTTCTCTCCCTTTCTCACAATACAAGCACTCGTCGGCACTCCATGAAATTGCTGAGCAGTCGGGTTAGAACAGATAAAAGGAAGTACTTCTTCACCCAAAGAGTGATTAACACATGAAATTCAGTGCCACAGGAGGTGGCGCTGGCTACAAGCATGGACAGCTTCAAGAGGGAACTGGATAAACATATGGAGCAGAGGTCCATCAGTGGCTATTAGCCACAAGGTATAGATAGGAACTCTCAGTCTGGGGTAAGTGATGCACTGTATTCTTGGTTCTTAGGGGGGGCAGCAGTGGGAGGGCTTCTAGTGTCCTGGCCCCACTGATGGACCTCCTGATGTCACCTGGTATTTTTGACCACTGTATGACAGAGTGTTGGACTGTATACGCCATTGGCCTGATCCAACATTGACTTCTCTTATGTTCTTATATGTAACCCACCTTTCTTTCTGAGACTCAAGGCAGATTACAGAATATAAAACGATGCGAATGGACACCATAAGACAATCGTGAACAATGCAATGGGACTAGAACTGCAGAATTAGAAAACAATGGCAACAGCAAATGTTCTAAGGCAAGGTGTGCTCTAAACAATGCAGAAAGTGGAAGGACAAAGTTAGAAGACAATGCAGTTAAACTAAGACGATACCTACAATAATCATTGCAGTAGACTATGATCCTATTCCATTATTAAAAAGGCCCTCCTGAACATTTCTATTTTGCCTATTCTGCGGGATGACAGATGAGTGGGAGCCTTCCTGGCCTCAAGCAGGCCATTCCACAAGGCGGGAGCCAGTACATGTGCATAAACAGGCACCTGCTGATCTTACCCATTTGTAAGGGGGCACCTTCAGATGAACAAAGCTGTCATGGTGGAACATGGCAGGAATGATGGTCCTGCAGAACACCTCCCTCTAAGCTGTGGAGTCTTGTGAGCAAAAATTCTTCTTTGTGAGCTACAGGAATTGAAGTTGTGAGCAAGCCATTTGGCAATTTGCATAAATTTGTTGGGTTGGGGCCTCCTGGCATAGACTCTAGCCAATGGTCTCCCACAGCAGCCATATACAGGTCTTCCCTATCAGACTTCATTTAATTTCAGAGGGGTTTTCTCTGGTTCAGCAAGAATCACACTGAAAATAGGGCTGTAATTTAATATTTTGTATTGTTTTATGGTTTTATCTGGCAATATGCCCTGTAAGCCGCCCTGAGCCTCCGGGGAGGGCGGGATAAAAATGTGAATAATAAATAAATAAATAAATAAATAAATAAATAAAAACCTGCACAATTAATTCATCTGAACCCTACTGCAGGACAGGAGAAATATATTCGGATTGCAAGCAGTGATGGTATTCCCAGACTCTGTCTAACCTTTCTCATAGCTGACTGCAGTCAGTGCTCTGGATTCCTAGAAGACAAGAATGCCCTTCTAAGGAAGGACATCTGGGCTCACTTCTTATTTTCCTGTACTGCCAGTTTCTCTGTTGTAAGGTAATTGCTTCTAGTTGCAGCAGCAGGCGTCATAAGCTCTACTGAAGTCAGTGAAAAGCCAGACTTCAATAGGCTTGGATTGGCCTCAGTAATCCTTAGGTCCTGAGTTGGAAATATATGGCTGACTCTAAGGGAGAAGCATTAGTTTCTGCTGTCAAGAGAGTGCTGAACCAGAATCTTAGCAGCACAGATGCTATCGATCCACAAATCAGGCTTAAAGCTTCATGCTCTAGTTCAGTGTCAGTTTCGCACACTGTATATCAAACAGAGCTGAGTGTTGTAAGTGTACTGGATGGTATATGCTGGTGTATAGATAATTCCCAGCCCCCTGTTCTGCTATAGATCATGGGATGATACATTTAAAACAAAGCTTTAGTTCTGCCTCATTTCTCCAAACACACATTTTAATCATGTTTAACACTGACTCTAAAAGAGAAGCTTGTGCCTTTCCACGGGATCTTTTAAAAATAACCTAGATAACCTTCATATGCCACCCTGTTTTGCCCAAGTTTATTAGAACCTGGTTTTTTTAATCACATCTGTTTCCCAGTCTTAATAACATAATTGTAATTCCTGAGTGATTTTTCTGATGGTGCACTTTAATGTCAACAAATGTAGGAGATACATAACACTTTCCATCAAAAGATTACAATAAGATTAATCCTCACAACAATCATATGAAGTAGATTTGGCCAAAGGGTGGTGGGACCCAGATCTCCAAAGTCACCTCTATCCACCACACCACACTGGCTTGTATGCTACACAGCCCTGGCATATTGCACTTTCTGAGTAAATCCCTATATTTTTAACCTCAGGGAGGAATACAATATATCATTCAAGGACTTCATGTGTTAACTACATTGTGTGTTGTGATGCCACAGGTGTCACTGACACTTTGGCCCATTACACACACGCACACATCTTACGGCAAATTTTCAGAGCAGTAAGCCTTAAATCTTGACTTCAGATTCTGTGCCTACCTTATGCACCATTCGTTTTCCTCTGGTATATTTATTCTGCAGCTACCAAAACCCCCACACACTTATCTAAATCGGGGTGGAATGTCACTTGTGACATGTGGGGCATGTGTGACATGTCCAAAGCTCTTTTTAAAAAATCACACAATTGCCCCATTGCAGCTGCATAGTAGTGTTCAGCAAGCACCTTCCATTTAAATCCTTGCAGCTCAGGTTTTGCGCATGCATTTTAGTTCCTTGAATGAAAGGGGACAGGCAGGCAGGCAGGCAAGGGGGAAAACCCACTGTTGAGTGTATAGAATGCATGGTAGAACCCACAGACACTGGTGCTTGTGTGTGCGCTTGTGTGAAGTTTGCTGCAACTCCACCACGCTTTGCACAGGGCTGCAATTCGTATGGGGGAGGAGTCTTCTGGCAGAAGC